GGATGACATGGGGGTGAGTAAATTATCAGCAAAAGTTTTTTGCTGATAAAAAAATGAACTACTCCTACAAATACCACCTAAGTACTGTCCATCTTTTAGAACATCCCCTTAAAATACCACCTAAGTAGGCAGCTCACTAGTTCACTTAACAGAGGCGAAAAAAAAGTATACCAGGAACAGTGTGAATGAATCTTTTATTTCGTTTTCTCTACATCATGCATTTACAAATGTGATGCACCATTGGTCCTCCTCCAGTTTTACGTCGTCAAGGTATGCCACTTTTTTGAGCACAAATCAGTATGATGTATACCAAGCCAAAACATGGTACACAAAGATGAATAAATAACCTAAAGAAAATAAAAATAAACATAACACATGCCTCTAATTCCCTTCCAATGAAAGCCCCTTCACATGATCCACGTTCAATACAGAAACACATCAGGTCCACCAGTAAGTAATTTTTATGGCATTTTAATGTGACAATCACAGGCAATCAGATATTTGACGTTTAATGTGACGAGGAGCTTCATTTTGAGTGACAACGCAGAATCAGCTGAACAAGAAAGTGTCCTGAAACTTGTGTTTGATGAAGACCAAATCTCACATTTACATGGGAAATATATGGTTAAACCTGTTTAGGACACAGTGTTACAAACTTAACTTCGAAAAGAACAGACAGTTGAAATAAAAAATCTTAAATCAGTATGTATGACATCACACGTTATGAATATGAAGGAAGTTTTATGCATGTTTATGCATGACATTTTTAATCCAAATATGACATTGGTTGAGATGTGTTCGTTATGACACCTTGACATAAACCAATCCATCATAACCTGTCAGTGTCGTTGTCATGACAACTTGACATTACTAAGACAGCACAACCTGTCATAAACATAATTATCAAACTTAAAGGGTTAGTTCACCCAAAAATGAAAATTCTGTCATTATTTACTCACCCTCATGTTGTTCCAACCCCGTAAGACCTTCGTTCATCTTCGCGACACAAATTAAGATATTTAAGATATTAAGATCGCTCCTGCATACAGTCCATAGGCTTCTTGAGGGAATGACTCTTGCTGGCATCGAAAAGTGATTAAAGACATCGTTAAAATAGTCCAAGTGACTACAGGGGCTCAATCTTAAGTTTATCAAACGACGAGAACACTTTTGTGCGCAAAAAACAACAAAAATAACGACTTTATTTCAACTATTGGTTTATTTCTCCCTCTGCGCGAGTCAGGTTACTAGTTTAATAGCGTAAGCTTCTGTTATTGTACGTCACACGCATCACATGACCAGTGTCGGCCAATAGTGAGCCTACGTGTGACGTAGCTCTACGCAATCACACTACGTTAACTGACTACAGGCTCATGGAGAAGGAAGTGAATAGTTGAAATAAAGTCGTTATTTTTGTTGTTTTTTTGCGCACAAAAAGTGTTCTCATCGTTTGATAAAGTTAAGATTGAGCAACTGTAGTCACTTGGACTATTTTAACGATGTCTTTAATGACTTTTCGATGCCAGCAAGAGTCATTCCCTCAAGAAGCCTATGGACTGTATGCAGGAGCGATCTTAATATCTTAAATATCTTAATTTGTGTTGCGAAGATGAACGAAGGTCTTACGGGGTTGGAACAACATGAGGGTGAGTAAATACTAAATACTGACAGAATTTTCATTTTTGGGTGAACTATCCCTTTAAGAAACCACCTATCTTTATTGGTTAACATTCGGTGGTTGGTTTTTTGACATTGGCTGTCATGAAGCCATTATAACTTTTTAAAGACAAATTCATTAGTGGTTGAGGTCATGAAAAATATTCATGACAGTTACTTATAATGCCTCATGACAGCCAATGTCAAAGCCAGTTTAACTTCATTTAATGTCATGTTGTCATGAAAAAGACACTGACAGGTTACGATGTATTGTTTTATGTCAAGGTGTCATAACAAAAACATCTCAAACAATGTCATATTTCCATTAAAAATGTCATTATTGAGTGAAAGACACTCATAAACATGCATAAATTCAATATCATGTCATGTCAGTCTTATGCACACCCCTTCAAATAAAGTGCTGAATTCTTTGTCCAATATCTCTAAGCAATTGATTCTGAGATTTTTTGTTTCCCGGAGGCCGAAGCATTGCACGACGCGTCCGCGCCGTGACATGAATCATGTGAAAGGGCCTTAAGAAAACGTGCCACTCACGACTTGCCAACTTAATTTGTTTTCCCCGTATCTTTGTGCAGTAAAGACATATCCCGAGCAAGACTCGAGTCCGAATGAAACGTCATCCTTAGCTGGAAGAATGAGAGACTTATATAGACGAGTATTTCAGGCACTTAGAAAATCTCCCCCCGTGTCCTTGGCTACAGCGTGCTTCACTGCATTGAGAATCAGCTTTCTTTCCCAGCACAATACAGCGTGTTAGACAAGGCAAAAGACTAGATAAGTACATTCAAAACACAATTCTTTAAAGGGATTTCAGGTACCTTCCTACGCAAAACGACCAAGCTCCTTTATCTACAGTGAAGTCGGGTAAGCGTGCTCCTAACGTTTCCGATGAACCGACGTTGATCGAACGTCATTTTTAATTACCGTTTAAAAGGTTTCGTTAAAAAAAGATCTTCACAGGATACACAAGCTACAATAAAGAAACAACACTACCGTAGTATTTCCAATCCCCCAATGATCAATACATTACAGTTCCCCAAAATGGTTGCATCCATCATAATACCATTTAACAACTTTTGGACGTCATGGAAATACCACAGTGTCCTTGGATCAGGTGATGTATGAAAGGCATCTGAAACTTACAATACTACGGCACCACCAGGGCCCTGATTTCCTCCTGTTTCCCATCTCCGGCCGTCTTTCTGTCCTCTAGCTCTCCCCGGGGCGTTGCTTTGCTGGACTCAGCAGTCATCCGTAAGAATGAGGCCAGTAATAGAGTGACAGCTGTAATTTTTTCAGCCAGAATTACTGTACACACACAATAATGAGTGCTGGCGGCTGTACCGCAACATCGCCGGGGGACGTCCCGATATACTTCCAGGACGCCACGAGTTGAGTTTGGTTTCAGGGATGGAAGCTGACGTTTACGAAAACACACTGGCCATCTCATGTTACACATGGGGCCTCTTTTGTTACGACATCGACAAAGAGTCTCACAAGTACCGTTACCGACAAAAGACGTATCGACTACGTTCCTCGCTACTTTTGAGAGAATCACGTGACTAGCACCACACTGCTGTGCTCTACGACTCGCGATTTAATGTGGACGAGATTTGACGCAACAAACGAAAAGAAAAGCTAAAAACGCAGAACTTTGGAAGAAATGTCCCGTATCGAGCCCGAGGTTCACTAATAAAGGGCGTGCCACTAAAAGGTTCTTAAAATGCCTCGCGATTGTCTTATAAAACTGGGTAGCATCAAAACATCGTAGGGTTTTTACAAATCAGTGGAGTCTAATAACATTTGCACCTGAGATTTGAGTTCTCAAAATACCTGTACTGATCATCAATGACTCACGACCTGTTCCGACTGACTAGTTAAAATAGAAAATGACTCGCGTCGATGTGCCTGAAGACGAGTTCTCGCTCTAAACGGTGGGACCACATTTAAAGGACGACTTTACGATTGTTTTAATGCCACCTTGACGTCGCTTTCTCTTTCTCTCTCTCGTTATAAGGACACAGAGTTGGAAGTTATTACAAATTGTTCTAAACACATACTCAGAAACAGGAAAGCACATTGGAAAAAGAGAAGACAGGTGTAGTACGCTAGACGACATTTACGATTCGCGTCACAATAGTCAACATCCTGGTTTAAAGGCCGTTCACACGAAGGATGATAACTGTATTAGCGTGTATAACGCTTGATAACGGTCTGTTTATTATAAACACACACTGCAGTTTTGTCGTCTGCCACTTTAAATGCTAAAGCTCTGGATTCTGATTGGCTGTCAATGTTTTTATCCATCATCAACTGGAAAAAAATGCTCTGAAAGTGATTTTTTTTTAAATCTCAAAAATTATATAAAAATATAGATTTAGAGTTATCGCAAATCTATATTTAGCAAATATATCGGTTATCGGCTTTCATTACCGATAACCGATAATTTGTTATATTTAAAAGCCGATAACCGATATATTGGCCGATAACTCTAAATCTATATTTTTATATAATTTTTGAGAGCCTGATTAAAAAAAACAAAACAAGTCTCACCATTAAAATCCATGTCTCAAGCACATAATTATAATATTGTCATGTTCTATGTATCCGATATGACGGACTTGTGTTGCACTGAAGTGTTGAAGTGTTTCCAATCCTATTTCAAGCAATTTGTGCTTATCTGAAGTGTCTCAGCTGAAGGAAATAATGCATTAAATATCAGCTTTAATATATCGGACCAAATTTGTTTGGGGGTCGATAACGATAGCATTAAAAAATAGCATTTATCGGCCGATACCGATATGGTGGCCGATAACTCTAAATCTATATTTTTATATAATTTTTGAGAGCCTGATTAAAAAAAACAAGTCTCACCATTAAAATCCATGTCCCAAGCACATAATTATAATATTCTATGTATCCGATATGACGGACTTGTGTTGCACTGAAGTGTTGAAGTGTTTTCAATCCTATTTCAAGCTATTTAAAACCATCGTGGCGAACAGTGCGCATCTGAAGTGTCTCAGCTGAAGGAAATAATCCATTAAATATCAGCTTTAACATATCGGACCAAATTTGTTTGGGGGTCGATAACGATAGCATTAAAAATTAGCATTTATCGGCCGATACCGATATGGTGGCCGATAACTCTAAATCTATATTTTTATATAATTTTTGAGAGCCTGATTAAAAAAAAAAAACAAGTCTCATCATTAAAATCCATGTCCCAACACATAATTATGACCAAATTTGTTTGGGGGTCGATAACGATAGCATTAAAAAATAGCATTTATCGGCCGATACCGATATGGTGGCTGATAACTCTAAATCTATATTTTTATATAATTTTTGAGAGCCTGATTAAAAAAAACAAGTCTCACCATTAAAATCCATGTCCCAACACATAATTATAATATTCTCATGTTTTATGTATCCGATAAGACGGACTTGTGTTGCACTGAAGTGTTTCCAATCCTATTTCAAGCAATTTAAAACCATCGTGGCGAACAGTGCACATCTGAAGTGTCTCAGCTGAAGGAAATAATCCATTAAATCAGCTTTAACATATCGGACCAAATTTGTTAAGGGGTCGATAACGATAGCATTAAAAATTAGCATTTATCGGCCGATACCGATATGGTGGCCGATAACTCTAAATCTATATTTTTATATAATTTTTGAGAGCCTGATTAAAAAAAAAAAAAAGTCTCATCATTAAAATCCATGTCCCAACACATAATTATGACCAAATTTGTTTAGGGGTCAATAGCGATAGCATTACAAATGTGCATTTATCGGCCGATACCGATATGGCGGCCGATATATCGCGCATCCCTAACCGATATCTTTCTTCTGTGTTGTTATCGTTATAGTCGTAGTGTGGATTTCACTATAGAATCAGGAAAGATTATCGTCCTTGGTGTGAACGTGCCTTTACTCTCTGGTATCGCCATCACACGACCGTGCTGATGTCCTCCGGTTCGTCCGGCTTCTTGGGCTTGCTGGGAAGCGATTTTAAGTACTCGAGGTGTCGTCTGGCGTCTTCTTGGTTCTGCCGTACATAGTACACAACGTAAGAGATAACCATTGCGAACCAGCCAAACATGGTCACCAACATGGCGTAGTCGGTGGTCCGCTTGGCTAGGTTGCACAAGTCCGCGTCCACGGCCAGGAACGGCTGGCCCTCCTGGTCTCTCAGCTCCGAACTACGGCACAACACGTGCGTGGCGGCCTCGTGGTTGTGCGCCATGCCGCCCAACGCTTGCTGTAAGGCGCAGTCGCAATGCCAAGGGTTGTTGTCCACCACCACGCGCGCCTTCAACCGCGCGAACGCCTCCTTGTGGACGCTAGTGATGCGGTTATGAGACAAGTCCAGCACTTCAAGAGATCCCTCTAAACCGACGAACGCCCCCTCGCCGAGGGTTTCCACGGCATTGTGAGATAGATTGAGCCTCCGAAGCATCCTCAAACCGTGAAATATGCGATCGGGCACCAGAGATATGTGGTTCCTGTCGAGTTGCAGAAGCTGGGTTTCCGGCGGGACGTCAGGCGGGATCTCCTTCAAGCGTGAGAGACTACAGGTGACGTTGAGGCCGTGCGGAGGGCTTTCGGACCGCTGGCAGGTGCAACCCTTGGGACAGGTGCTGGCAGACGGAAAGCACAGGACCATGAGCACCAGGCTTTGCAGGAGCAGACACATGGGGATGGAGCGCGAAAGCCACAGGTCCAACGGCGTCATGCTGACAGGCAGTCAACATACTCGACGCCAGGGCCGTTCACGGGAGCCCCATAGCGGGACCGCGTCGTCGTCACCAGGATGCGTGGGTCTCGTCAACTCTCATCGTCTGTTTGAGCCTGCGGAGGGAGAGCAGATCATTTATGGGTCGGGATGACATCATTACTCAGTACATACACAACCTCTCTGTCTGAGACTGAGTGATATGAGGCTAACTAAAGAAAAACTGAGAATAAGGATAAACTTTATTAATCACACACTGGGGAAATGCCTGTGTTACAGCAGCTCAAAAATATACACGTAAAACACAAAAATATAGGGAATGGAAAATAGAGTAAGATTAGTCACAATAATAATAATAAACCAACCGTATGTAAATAATATAAATATACAAATGAATATGTGAATGGGTAAAGGTAACATATTGCACGGTTGGACTAAGATATCTGAACGTTCTTAGATTATCAATTAACAGAAGTGGTATTTTTGTTCATTTGACTGTTCTCTTCTGTTCACAAAGGATGCATTTATTTGAAAAATACAAAGTATTTTATATAATACAGTAAAAACAGTAGTATTGTGAAATATTATTACAATTTAAAATGGTTTTCTATTTGAAAATATTTTAATGTTTAATTTATTTCTGTGATTGCATTTCTGAAGTTGCATTTTCAGCAGCAATTACTCAAAAATCAACATTTTACACAAACACAAACACACCTTTCTCTTCACACTGTATCAACTTTATATTTGCCACCTTGCTCTATAAATATCAGGCATTGATAAAGCCTGTATTGTTTGATCCCTAGTGTTTACAGTAATGTTATTTAATGATGATTATCAGGCAGAATGAATGCAGTGGGCTTTATTATTGTGGAAAGTGGGTCATTTTATTATTATACAGTGGGCAGAATATTTTGTGCATAAATGAGTGAATGTTTGCATACAGAAATCGTGATTAAAACTTTGTACATGAATGCAAAAATAATTTTCACACACAGTTTTCTAGTTGCATTTAGTGTAAACTTATCTGTTCAATTAATTGCGTCACTGTAATCAACGCTTTTGTTGTTGTGTCCGAAAAATACTGCTTTGATTGCACAAATAAATGAACATTTTCTATCTATCTATCTATCTATCTATCTATCTATCTATCTATCTATCTATCTATCTATCTATCTATCTATCTATCTATCTATCTATCTATCTATCTATCTATCTATCTATCTATCTATATATGAAGAGTTCAGATGCAAAAGCCTCTAAATGCCATTTGAAATTTTCTTCTTTAATGATGATTTTTATCAAACTTGTATATTTAAGTTCAGTAATTTCACTTAAATAACAATTAATAGGTAATTATCATTGCCATTTAAGTGAAATCACTGAACTTAAATATACAAGCTTGATAAAAATGATCATTTTAGAAGAAAATTTCAAATGGCACTTAGATATATATATATATATATATATAAACATTCCCCTCCTTAAATATCTTCAGTCCAGTTAGGTAAGGGATAACAGCAAATCATTCATTTTAACAATATAAAGCCCCACAGGGTGAAACAAGACCACAAATGATTACACTGTCAGGGTTTATTTATTAAACTAAATATTTTACTTCTTAATAGACCAATTAGTGAACAACTCTAACTCTAGACTTCTTGACAGCAGTTTTAACTAATTTACTTGGACCCTCTGCATAAATATGACCTAAAATATATAACTAGACAAAATAATATACTTGGTCATTTTTATTTATTCAGGACAATTATCCAATATTACATATCTGTGTGTGGCAAACGTATGTGAAGCTTGATTAGGAGTTAATTTAAAGGCAAAATTAGGCTATTCTTAGATGATTTCAGTCAATATGATGACAAACCCGTCCTGCCGTTTTATTTAAAGAACAGAGAACAACTTTACAACACGTGTATCATGGGATGGACAAAGTAGGTTTTTGAGGACCTTGTTGTTGCTCATCAGACTAGGAAAGTTTATAAAACTATAACTATAATCTAAAGAGTTTTGATCCACAGATTCAAAGTCAGACAGATTGTGCACAAATAAAGGGAATTTAAGACAATTGCAGGTGTGGTCGATCAACCAGGATAATAATTAAGCCAATAATACATTTTCTGGCTTTTCTTAGTCTAGAAAGCTCCAAATTCAACAATAATTTCACATTTCTTCTAAATAAATGACCAATTTTAAATACACATTTATCTTTCCAGAGGTGACGTATCCCTTTAAGGTGTGTATTTATTTTCTTCCATTTTTACACCTTTATGTGCTACAATTTAGAGTGATTTAAATCATCTCTTGCAAGAATTCTTAATGCGGGTTGTAATTGGATGGGAGGGTGGGATACGGTACGTTCTGTTAAAAAAAGGAAAAATGTGTATATCGTACAGTAATTGTTTTTGCAGTAATTAGTTATCATTCAATAAAAAAACTTTGAACGAAGAAGGCTGAACGGCAGAGCTGTGAGGAGAAAGCATCCTCTCTCCCAAATGAACATCTCTGCCCGTCTGCAGTTTGCTAAAAAGATCATGTGGACAAGCCGGAGGGCTATTGCTAGAAATTGCTAACAAAAATAGGACTTTCTGGTTAAATGAGAAGTGTTATTCTTGGGGAAAGAAAAACACTGCATTCCAGCATAATAACCGGATCCCCTCTGTGCTGAAATTATAGTTCGGGCCTGTTTTGACTGAACAATGAGTTCTGAATTTTACCAGTGTTTTCTGAAGGAAAATGTCGTGAACTGAAGCTCAAGCAGCAAGACAATGCCTGGATCACTTTTCTCAATAATCAACGATTGACAAAGTATGTTTTGTCCTCATTTGTAAGATTGGGTTCTCTTTCGCTCCGTTCACACTGCGAGCGTACACGTTGACTTTTTGTAGTTCTATCTATAGCCGTGTCGTGTTAGCGTGTTAGCGGCCACTAAGTTTCGACGGAATTGAATCAATTAAAACTAACTTTAGCTGGAAAATAACTTTATTCTAGAGCTGTCATAAAGCCAAAACAATCTCTGTCACTTTAATTTCCTATTATCACTGTAAAGCAGCTTATTGTTAAAGGGATACTCCACTTTTTTTGGGGAAATAGGCTCATTTTACAACTCCCCCAGAGTTAAACAGTTGAGTTTTACCGTTTTCGAATCCATGCAGCCGATTTTCTGATATTTAGAAGAATGTCAGTAAACAGAGTAGGAAAAAAATATATGGAAGTCAATGAGACCACAAACTGTCTGTTTACTGATATTCTTCTAAATATCAAAAAATCGGCTGAATGGATTCGAAAACGGTAAAACTCAACTGTTTAACTCTGGGGGAGTTGTAAAATGAGCCTATTTCCAAAAAAAAAGTGGAGTATCCCTTTAAAAGCGCTATATAGATGAAGATGACTTGACATATCTCTTAAAATTAGTTAATGCACTACGAACTAACATGACTGATTAAGGTATAATTAATATGTTCATATTTTTGTATTTTAAAAGTACAGTATATTTTCATTGTTCGGTATTATTTATAAAAAATATTCAAAGTTTGTTTTCATTCATTCATACGGTTATCGGCGTAGGCTAACCTAACCTTATCGTTATCGGAAAATAAAAAAAAACACAATCGGTCGAAGTCTAGTTTAGCCGTAATAGTAGTTGCATGAATTTCGATATGACTGCGGTCGCATTGCAAAACATCAGACCTGTATCAGATTTAGTAAGAGGCACAAATCAGAATAGAAAACATGGAAGCTTGTTTCCGCCACTGAATAAAAAAAAAGATAAAATTAATTGTGACTTTTTATCTCACAATTGCGAGATATGAAGTCAGAATTGTGAGAAATAGTAGCAATTGTAAGATATAAAGTCGCAATTCTGAGAAAAAAAGACAGAAATGCGACTTTATATCTCACAATCGTGAGTTTACATCTCGCAATTCTAGGGATGGTCAACGATTAATCGCATCCAAAATAAAAGTTTGTGTTTACGTAATATGTGTGTGTGTGGTGTGTATAATTATTTAGTATATATAAATACACACACATGCATGTATATATTCAAGAAATATTTGCATGTATGTACTTTATATATATTTATACATAATTAATATTATGTATAAATATAAATCTTTGATATATTAAGAACACATTTTTCTTAAATATATTCATGCATGTGTTAGTATTTATATATACAAAATAATTATACACACCACACACACATATATCATGTAAACACAAACTTTTATTTTGGATGCGATTAATCATTTCCCATCCACTTTATAACACATAATTGCGAGTTTATATGTCGAAATTCATCTTTTCTCAGAATTGTGAGATATAAACTCACAATTGCGAGTTATCAGGCCAATTCTAAGGGGAAAAAAAGACTAACTTTTTTCGCCTTCAGAATAGTTTAAATCTCACAATTCTGACTTATATCATGCATTTCTGACTTTATAACACGCAATTGCGACTTTATCTAGCAATTCTGACTTTATAACACACAATTGCGACTTTATATCACGCAATTCTGACTTTACATCTCGCAATTCTGAGAAATAAAGTCAGAATTGTGAGATAAAAAGTCGCAATTACATTTTTTATTTTTCATTCTGTGGCCGTAACAAGCTTGCATAGGTTTGTTCACACTGTCATGAGAAAAAGTCACAAAATCTGATTTGAGCCACATTAACCTGCAGTCTGAACGTAGCCTTTGTCTACTTTTGGTACTTTGGTGAACGTCTGATAATGTTTTGGGTTATATTTATGCAAGAATACAGAAGGGTTCACAAACATCCAAGCACCACCACAACGAACTACAGTTTAAAAGCAGCTTCAGCAACACGAGAAACACACTATAATTAACACACATTAACACAGAGCACATGCCACATACTGTACATACGTGACACCATGCCTGGATTGATGTAAACAACCGAAGATAATAGCGGTTTAAGTGTCAGCGCTACATTTAACAGCGGACTGAATTAGCTGAGCTAAAACATGCTCACTTACAGAGGCACCTTTTACATGTAAATAAATCAATAGTGATGTAAAAGTATCCCAGGAGTCCTGACATGCTATGCCCAGTATGTATGTGTGTGTGTTGCCAGAGGCAGTGGACTGACTCGATGAATCCCAGCTGATGTAATGTGTGTGTGCATCTGCCACATGGGATATACGGAAGATCTCAAGCGTTTGGGTGCAAACTATTACAACTCTGACAGGCCATTACAGAAAACGAGAAAAAACCCAACAACGCGTCATTCATATACTGTCAACAACAAACCACTTACGTTCAAATTCAGGTGAGATGAATTCTAGATGAATCTTAAATAAAAATGCATGATATTATTGCATGGCTCTCTGGAAGGATCATGATTGGTCAATCCTGACATTCAGAAGTCAAATTTTCCTGAAAAATGACTGTTGCCCATGGCAACAATGTTTAAATGACTGCTCATCCAGGAAACTGCATGTTTCAATAAAGCTGTGCTTGTGTATTAAGTAGTAAGCTCAACTAATATAATATAATATAATAGATATAATATATATATATATAGATAACAGATCACTCTAAATTGTAATGTGACGCATGCATTTTCTGTAAAGCTGCTTTGAAACGATATGTTTCGTGAAAAGCACTATACAAATAAATGTGAATATACTAGTATAATATAATATAATATAATGTCACATGTTCTGGGTTTATTCTTCCATAATTAAAATGCTGATTGTTCATCATCATCTCTTCCTTATAACACATCTGGGCTCTACATCTCCATTTGTTGTTTATTAACGCACGATTTATCGGCCACCATATCGGTATCGGATGATGTTCATTTTTAATGTTATTGGCCCAATAAGAAAATTTGCCTGATATATTAAAGCTGATAAATAAAGATTGATGTCACTTCAAAAAAGGAAAATACGGTTCAGTGCAAGTCTGTCATATACGTGACAAAATTATAATCAGAATATTACATATAATTGTGTGTTTGGGACAAGGCTTTTAATGGTAAGACAATTGTTTGTTAAATCAGGCTCTTGAAAATTATAAAAAATGTGGGTTTATATTTATAAATATATCAGTTATCAGATTAGAAATATAACGAATTATAATATTATGGAGGAATATTTTTATTTTTACATCACTCTTCAAGAAGGATAAATCTGATATATTGAGGTTTATGACCTGTGATCGCCATATAAGAAAGTTACAAGACCAAGCCAGACCTTTTTGTTTATGAATATAGCAAAACAAAAACTAGCAGCTGTATCTTAAATACTAGTTGTGGGATATCAAATTCTAGATATTAATATATTTTACAGTTATGGTAATGTAGTTGATTCACACTTTTTAATACTAACATATAGTTTTATTGAAATAAAATCACTTTTTATGACTTAGCAGTGTATATTACAATATGATTATATTAAAATTATAATGTTAAATTACCAAAAATATGTAAAACATTTCAAATAATATAGCTAATACATACAGTTGTGGTAAAGGTAATACATAAGGTGATTCACACTTTAAATATAATTATATTAAAAATCTATTAAAATATAATATCAAAAATAAAATTACAGATATGTTTAAATGACCAAAAAATATTCAGATAATTTAAAATATATGAAATATATTATTAAAAAGAATTTCAAATATATATTTTTTTCGCTGTTGGGTAAGCTACAACACAGCAGTTATTAGGTTTTACTGTAGCATTATTATATATATATATATATATATAATGATATATATATCATTATTTAAAATGACCAATAGTAAAGGGGCGAGTTTAAGAGGACTTAATGATTGGAGAAGTCCTTGAGTCATTTCACAATATGATCCAGTTATAACATTTCATATGTCAAATAAAATACAATGAAACATGCATTGATGAAACATTCAATAACATGCATTTAGAAAATAGGTTGATTTTTAATTTCATGCTGACTTTAAACATTTATTACTTAAAACAAGTCATGCAATTTGCTTCTAGGGCATTAGAAGATCTATTTTCTTCTAATGATGTTTAGATACATGGTTAATAAAAAGAAATGGTACGGTATTTGGCATTACAAGAATGAGTACAGACGTGTCCAGCTCATCATGAATGGAAGAGTCATAATTAGACTGACATCCGGTTTTAATATTAAAACACATTGATCCAGAATATTATCTGGCAAGCTTGGCTCACAGCTCGAAGAAAGCCAAACAGATTTTGAAGCTTTTACCATCATACCATTGCCATCATCACAACACATTATAGTTCATAATGTGAAGATTATGGAGCTGGGGAAAGAAATCCTAATGGCTTTCATGCACCATCAAACAAAAATACGTGGCTGATATTTTATACTGAACTAATTGACTTGGACAACATTGTATGGATATTTCTTTTGATGTATTTTTTGCATGCATTTTACTCCTCACTGGATTTGACAGAAGCATCAAATATGTTGTTTAAAAGCATCATATGAGATAATTATTGCTCGGAACAAATAGCAGACCAGAATCTGGCTTTAAAGGCGTCTCGTGTCAAATGTGATAATAATCCAATCAGATATGAGCAGAAGCACAGCTTTGATCCAATGCATTATCCCTGAATGAATCCTGAAATCTGACCCTTCCGGTGTGATCAAAGGGAACATCACCTTCTTCTAGCAATTTCACAAGCAGACACAGCATCATAAAAAAAATAAGTCGCTGAAAATAACTTTTCTCGACTTGTAAAGCAGTGAAGAGTGATCTCACACACACACACACACACACACACATTACTGCCGAGGCTCTCACTCTCCACACCCTCATGAACGTCAAGCGTGATTGCATTCATTAAACATGATTATTAGTCCCATTATGAGAGATGAATCAATACCTGCAAATAAGTTGCTCATGCCTGGCTGTCTTAAATAAATCATAAATGTCAGTTGCACTGCAAATGAAAACTGCAATCATCGATCCTGTCAATTGCAATTTAAAAGGCGCATATTTTATTATATTTTTACTCGCAAACAAACACCAGCTGACGCATACACAATTCGCTTGTTTTATACTCAACACGAGCATGTCGACTATTCTCAGCATGCAAAACACATATGTGACAGATGAATGCGTGTCAGTCTCTCTCAATCATGTGTGTTTATGTGTGGCTGAGCAACAGGCGACATGCGTTTGTCTCTTACCTGCGACAGAAACACTCATCGATCGCTGCATCCGTGACTCTCACATCCTCGGGGAATCATTCAACATATATGATGTGACGCTCTCGGTTGTTATTTCAAGTGAGCTCGCACATATTTGGAGATTGTTGTCTGATGTTAGTGGCGAGAACCACGGGAGTAACTGGGAGGGGTTCGATCGCTCCGTGGTAGTGGAGTCCGATTCGCGAGCGAATTGGTTCTTTTGAGCCGACTCGTTTTTTAGTGATTCAGCCGAGCCGATTACTGTTGTGGGGAAAACAAAATTGCTTTAATAATAATGTTAGGAACAATGCTGAACCCTTACAACAATCCGCATGTTTTGGACCATGGTGACAGAAACACAAGTTTAAAGGGGCAGTTCAACCCAAAGTTTTAATTCTGTCATTATTTAGGCTACCCAAGTTTTCCCAAACCTGCTTGTATTTCACTCACAAAATTGTTATTTCAAATATAGGGTCAAATCAACTGTTCGGCAGCTTATTATTTCATACAGGTTCGTTCGGAGCAACTTGTGGATGAGTAAATAAATGGTGACAGGAACTTTAATTTTGGGGTGGACTGTCCCTTTAAGATGAATTTCCGAATCACCAATTTAAGATGGATTTCCCCTTTTTTGTTGTTCATGTTTTAGCCACGTAATGTAACACAATATGCACCCGAACCGAAAACTCCTCGCTTAATGACAAGAAAAATCAAAGGTAGCGTGAACAAAACAATCTAAGCTAAGGGGTTCATTGAAACGAGTCATCTCATCGACCGATTCGATAAAATGAATCATACTTCCCAGGCTACTGATTCTCTCGGTAGCGCGCGCTTAGTTTGTACGTGTGTATCTGTGTGCACTATTTTTTTAATTTTCGGCTATAATCAGTCAAAATTAGCCATTCTGAAGGAACCCACGTCGATTAAAGACAGGAAATCCACCGTGAAATACGTTTTGCGACGTGTTTTTGTGCTCAGGTAATCGGATGACTCGTAAAAGTGTGACGGTACCATAGACTATAGGACAATAATTATTAATGTAAAGCCTTATAAAAATGTAGCGAATTATTATTATTTAATGTGATTAAATTTGACCATCTCCTATCTTAATACCCAGGATAGCCTACCGAATGATTAGCCTACCATTAGGCTAACTGAACTGCACTTTTTGTATACAATGACGCCAGTATCTGTAAAAAAAAAAAAAAAGTAAAAAGTAAAATGTTGACTTGGAAAAAAAAACAAATGAAATAAAAAAGGTATCGAACTAAAACCTTTATTGCAGTGTAAAAGAGGGGCTTGTTGTCACAATATCAGGTAAATTGTCACAACGAAATCTGACATTATAACGAGCCTGTATAGATGTCCAGCAACACTTTATTTATTGTAGCCTAAATCTGATACTATCACTGCACCATGTTATCAACACGTACTTATTGTGCTGCAATATTTTCACTAGACAGCAATTTATTGCTTTAACAATGTCGACAACTCCAAACAAGTGGGCTAATTTTGAGTTTGACAGCAGCATAGGGGTTAAAAATCTGAACAACTAAATGGTTGAAACGTCAAACTCCCTCAAGGACTGATTTGTAACCACTCCAAACCAGAGTGACCCTGTACTGTGTGTCGGCATCAGCTAAATAGTATGAAACCACTCATGATTAATTATAATCATGTTATCTCCACGGTTCAATAAATGTTTTGATAGTTTCACTGTAAATACCAACAATACACAATGAGCCATCTCGGTACTCCTTCAATGTCAGTGCGCTGTAGAAACCAACAATTAGCTGTGCTGTCCTTGACAAACACTGTGTGTCTGTGATAAAGGCAGCTCATCCGTTTGCAGCAGAGCGGAGAAACTTCCACTGCGCCAAATATCAATCATTGTAGATAATTAGTCAGTGTATGTGTGATCAAATGCCGTTATGACAGAAAAACATCCATCACCACCAAATGAACTGAAGTTCCAATAACTGGGGCTCGACGGGCGTTTAAATCCGCTACGCTTGCACACCGGCGTCTCAAAAACACTATGTATCAAAAACGTCAATTTTGCTGTAAAGCACAATAGATTTTTGTATTGGTGCAGATATAATTGAGTGTTTCATGCACCTTGACGTAGCTTACAGAAAGAGTCTAGTTGTAGCACTGTAAACGGGTTTGCACGTGACACGCTCACACTGCAGCTGCGGGATTATGCCTTGATATGATTTTCAAGACTCAAATTGGCAGGTTGCCTGTATAGCATGTAATTTAGAGTTCTCCCACCGTTCCCTGCCGCACTGACACACTGAATTTGATTGGCAAACAAACCAAAACAAACCAAAAGACGGCAGACAAACCTAAACTGCTCCTTCATTAATTTGCAATGGTACTGATTTGAAACAAGACATTTACATTCATGCTTTTAAAAGGTCATGCTTTGTAACGCTCATTTGCATACTAAGTGGCTAATTATTTTTGCAGCCAATAGGCAGGTGTGTGTCGGTGTGGGACCGGTCATCAGTCTTTAACTGCATCCAAATACAATCTAGATAGTGCGTGTCTGTAATTTGGCTTTCTGTGAGAGTGAATTAGCCTAATTAAATCTATTAACCACATGCATCTCCCATAGGCCCATCAAACTCATGCACACACATAATTTGCACATGCAAATTCTCTTTTTGGTTGTTTGGAATAATGCCATTTTACACATACTTTTTTTGTGCAGAATGCATGATGATCTATTATCTATTAATTTAGCAAACCCAATCATAGAATGGCAATGGACTTGAATTTTTCATGACGAATAAATTAATCCTTTTTGAATTTTGATCATATTTCCAGTTTTACACAAAAGTTATTAAAATGCAAAATGAATATACTTCATTTCCGAGAAAACTAGATTTCTCCTCTATTAGATATTCATAAAAAACATGCATGCCTAAAGTTTTCATATATTATTTAAAAAAAAACAAAAACAAAAAAAAACAGCAGAGATGGTCTTATTACCCCTCCCGGGGTAACACTTTAATTAAAGGGGTGTGCATAACATGACATGACATATGAAATGAATATGAAGGAAGTTTTATGCATGAAGGAAGTCATGCATAATTTCATATTCATGACATATCATGGTTATGAAGGTGTCATGTCAGTCTTATGCACACCCCTTCAAGTATACTTATCATAGTCTCTAATAAGAGATAGTTGACATAGTTGCAATGTTACTTACATAGTCAACATATGTCCAAAAGGGTCACCATGGAAATAAAGTGTTGCCACACCTTTGCTTGTGAAACAGTATGCCGTGGCAAACTCTTTAAACACTAGTGTGCTGGATAGTTGTTGCATGAAGTTTAATACGGCAAGTGGTATTGAGTTATCATATCAGAAATGTGTTTATTTTACATTTTAATCTAGTTATTCTTGTGTGTACAATATACGATCAGTTTTGGCAGTTCACTGAAAAAATAGTGTAAAATTCCTAGTAATTTTCTCAAATTATTGCCAAGAAATGGCAAGCAACACAAATAAATATTGTATTTTAAAGGACCTTTGGTCTAATTACACATTGTTACTTAGTCAACCGTTATCTGAGATTTGTTTTCATGATTGCCGAATGTAAATAGTTTTATCTCTAAAAACAGTTTAGCCTATAATGCTAGTATAACGCTAGTAGAGTAATAGAGTAATGATAAATAAAAATCGCTTGTTATTACCACTAACAAGGCTCAAAATAGCCCCACAGTAACACGACAGCATAATAAGGGTCCCTACGTTCAAACCGAAGCATTGAGAACTTTGTCAGTGTCCATACCGTTTAATAAGAAGACATTTTATACATACAGTCAACTTCGCGAATACAGGAAGAAGCCATCTTTGAAAAATAGTCTCTACCAGTCGATCTACGAACGCCGATCCAAGTGCGCTGGTGAGATGTGAATAAGGTGATAATGTGAGCGCGAACAGTAGGCTACATGTACATATTGAAGAGAAGAAAACGGTTCGTGTTTGTGTTTTTTTCCGAAAACAACGGACCATATGAGATTCTGCACAGTTCAGCGCACTTGGATCGGCGTTCGTAGATCGACTGGTAGAGACTATTTTTTAAAGATGGCTTCTTCCTCTATTCGCGAAGTTGACTGTGTGTATAAAATATCTTCTTATTAAACTGTATGGACACTGACTCACTACTGGCTTCGAGTCCAATGTTTCCAAAGGCAATTTCCAAAAGTATTGTTGCATTCAGCGCACAAAATATTTTTCAAATCTGACTACAGTGTGAATATGATAGCTCTCAGTCCTGCACCCCTGCTGAGTGTTTAATGGCTGATTATTGCATTGCTCTAGAGATGTGATATGTGCTTCTCCTCTGTCTGATGGTATAAACTCACCTCAAGATGCAATAAAACCATCAGCGCCTTTTCCCATCTCACATCTCCGCATATTGAATGTCCATTTCCTCCCCAAACGTGATTTAAATGTTTCAGATGTCATCTGAACCGCTTTTGACCCTTGAATTATTCCGATCATTTACAATAATCCTCTGCAGATCTGACCTTTAAACTCAGTGAAAGGTCAAGCTGATCGATGCAGAACACGAGCGGTGTCACAGATCCGACCTCTCGGAAGATATCGCCCGTCAATGAGAGATCGGCGGATAAAAGTGCGCTTTATTCTGCCATGAGACATGTAAACTCGAATCGTGCAAAAGTTCATTTATTTCAGTAATTCAACTTAAAAGGTGAAACTAATATATTATATAGACTCATTACATGCAAAGTGAGATATTTCAAGCCTTTATTTGGTATAATTTTGATGATTATGGAGCTGTAATCCAAAATTATAACAAATAAAGGCTTGAAATATCTCACTTTGCATGTAATGAGGCTATATAATATATTAGTTACTTTTACATGATATTCTATTTTTTCCAGTTTCACCTGTATCAGAAAAGTTAGTAAAAATACTCTGTCCTCACACATTCATTGTGTTGTTTGTAAGGGTTTTAAGGAAGTATAGTGTATAATTGAACCTATAATGTCCTTACAGGCAATGACCAACACGTTTTCTCTTTATTATTTCCTACAGTGCTTATAAAAACAGTAAACAATACTAAGATTTCTGTCACATGATCTCACTAAATTCAGCAAATGCCATCCAGTTTTCATCTCAGAAAAATACAGCTA